ACGTCTTAGTAGATCAAATTCACCGCACTTCAGACACAGCTATAGACACAACACACATAGCTCGAAATCACCGATATACAGACACCATCCTAGGGACAACTCTGGTCCTCGCCGATCACAATCCACAAAACATAGACAGAATTCTGACTCAGACAGTGATAGTTATGTCCAGTCGCCCGGTCCATCTCGACAAACTACACGGACTTATAACAACTCGCCTCGACCACAAACGAAATGTTTTTCATGCGGCTTAAGGGGCCATTTAGCAGCTGATTGTAATGTCGATACCGAACGAACACAACGAAAGGGGCGTAATAAATCACCTAAGGTGGACAAGAGCAGAAACAAACAGAAGAAGGTCAGTTTTAGAAACAAAGAAAGATGACTAGTCCCGGAGTTTAGTGGAGAGTGCGAAGATTGTGAACAGTGTATCAACCAAATGAAATTTACCTTGCCAATAGGGAACATAGTTAGCGATCAGTGGGAAAAACGTTTTAAGGGAAAACTACCTATCGTCTCTGGAAAATTAGACAATCAGTCAGTTGCTGTTTTGCGCGACACAGGCTCCGTAGTAATAGCGTGTAGGAAACAGTTAGTGGACAGAAGTAGATGGAATCGTGGTAGGATAACGATTAAGACAGCCAACGGTGACAGCAAGAGAGTGCCTAGAGCGTTGGTGAGCATTGAAACTCCTTATCTCACTGGAGAGTTCCTAGCCGTCCTTTTAGATGACCCCCCTGCAGACCTTATAGTCGGCAATGTAGGGGGAGCCAAGCCTCCATCTAACGAAGACCTTGGTATTATCGCTGCTGTAGAAACAAGAGGGCAAGCCAGAAATAAGAACAAACTAGATGGGAAACAAACTTATAACATCCTAGGCAAAACTGTATCGGCTGAAGAATTTAGGAGACAACAGTCCAACGATAATACCCTCAAAAATTGGTGGAAGTCTGCAAAAAAGGGTGATAAGAAGTACACAATTGTAGACGGCTTGTTGTTCAAAGTCGTCGGACACATTAGAGGGGAAGATCAAATTCGTTTAGTCGTTCCATCAGCACTTAGAGATACTGTGTTAAAACTAGGCCACGACACACCCATGGCCGGCCACATGGGGTTGGCTAGAACCAAAGCCCGGATCTTCTCAGAGTTTAGATGGCCAGGCGCAGCTGGAGACATAAGAAAGTACTGCTACAGTTGTGACACATGCCAGAAAGGCAAGAAGAATATCGGCAATAAAGCGCCGCTAGGTAGATCACAAGTGGTTGGACAACCATTTGCCAAGTTAGCCATTGATATTGTATGATTTCTAAAGCTTATAAAGAAGAGAAATGGGTTTATCCTAACGGCTATAGATCTATGTACAAGATGGCCTGAAGCGGTACCTCTCAAAAGTATAACTGCATCTGAGGTTCAAGATGCTCTGGTCTCAATTTTTACTAGAATGGGATTCCCTGAAGTTATCTTGTCGGATAATGGGTCCCAATTTACGTCGGAAATTTTCAACAAGGTTTCGAAGCTGCTAGGTATTAAACTGGTGCATTCATCAGCGTACCACGCCATGTCAAATGGGGCAGTTGAAAGATGGAATGGTACTTTCAAGGAAATGCTGAGAAAAATCACAGCAGATAGACAGGAAGACTGGGACGAATTTATACCGGCAGCTCTGTTCGCCTATATGGAAGTCCCAAATGAAATCACCGGCTATTCACCCTTCGAACTCATGTTCGGTAGAAAAGTTAGGGGACCTATGAACATACTCAGGTCCATTTTTACAGGCGAAGGAACTAGTGACTGTAAGACTAGGTTAGCATATGACTACTTACTTGACTTAAAACAAAAATTACAGTCAGCGTGTAGGTACGCTACGAGAAAGACAGAAATGAGTAAAGATAAATACAAAGAGTATTATGACAAATCAACACAAGTAAAAGACATTAGAATTGGCGACCATGTGCTGGTCCTAAAGCCTCAACTGCTTAACAAGTTAGAGCTTAGATGGGCAGGGCCTTACGAAGTTGTTAACAAAATCTCAGACCTAGACTATGTTGTTAGAGTCGGTGAGAGGACTAAAGTCTTCCACGTAAACCGGATCATACTGTACCACCACAGGAATAATTCAGATAAGTCCAAAACACATCCCGTGCTAGCGGCCGTATCAGGTGTTATCGAAGAAGAAGAAGAGGAGCCTGAGTGGGGCAATGATCCGCAACCAGGTGTCCCACCGGTTAGGATTAGAACGCCTGACGTGACAGAACCCACCGACCTAACCACAATTCAAATTAACGAAAAACTCTCCGAGTCGCAACGCACAGACCTACATCGTCTGATCTATGAGTTCAAAGATATTATCAGTAATATACCGGGTAGAACTAACTTAGTTGAACACAACATTGAGTTAAGTGACTTTAAACCCATTCGGATGAAACCCTATTCTATTCCCTACGCACGCAGAGAAATAATGAGAGCAGAAATCAAAGAAATGGAAAGATTAGGGATTATAGAAAAGTCAAACTCAGACTATAGCGCCCCGGTAGTTTTGGTCAAAAAGAAAGATGGGTCTGCCCGATTTTGTGTTGACTACCGCAGGCTGAACGCCGTCACCATATATGACGCTGAGCCTATCCCAGACCAAGAGGAGCTATTTGCCAAGTTGAATAGTGCCAAATATTTCACGAAATTAGACCTGACCAAAGGCTACTGGCAAATACCCCTCAACGATAAAAGCAAGAAGCTTACAGCATTCTCTACACCCTGGGGACTTTACCATTTTAATTACCTCCCTTTTGGTCTGTCTCCCGCTCCTGCAAGCTTCGCCAGATTAATGCGTTTAGTTCTGAAAGGTTAAGAGAACGTAGTCTCATTCTTTGACGACATATGCATTTACAGTGACAGCTGGGGGGAACACGTTAAAAGCTTAGAGGCAGTATTTAGGAGATTAAGGGAAGCGGGATTAACTGTAAAACCGTCAAAAATTGAACTAGGATTTGAACAGGTAAGTTTCCTCGGTCATATAGTGGGAAGTGGAGTAATGGCACCTCAGAGAAGTAAAATAGATAAAATTCTAAACATTGCCATCCCAAGAACTAAGAGACAAGTGAGGCAACTTGCAGGCCTTATTAGCTATTACTCCAAATTTATCCCCAACTTCAGCAATCTTAAGGCGGTGCTGACTGACCTTTTGGCGGGGGATAAACCGGAGAGAGTTGCTTGGACAGATGAGTGCAACAGGACTCTTGGGCTGATACAAGAGCACTTAAACTCAGAGCCTGTCCTTGTCCTGCCCGATATTAACCAACCGTTTATACTCAGGACGGACGCCTCAGCACGCGGCATAGGCGCAGTGCTACTGCAGGCTAAAGAGGGGGTGCTGCGGCCCGTCAAATATGTCAGCAGGAAGTTGCTACCGCGAGAGACGAGGTACTCAACAATTGAGAGGGAATGTTTGGCCATTATCTGGGCAGTGGGGAAGTTAGCACTGTACTTAAACAACGTACACTTTACACTCCAAACGGACCAACGAGCTTTGAAGTATTTAAATAACTGTAGTTACAGCAACTCTAGATTAACTCGATGGTCTCTATTGTTACAAGAATTTAAGTTTACTATAGAGCATATACCAGGAAAAGAGAATATAGTAGCTGACATGCTATCAAGGGAATTGAGAGAATGAGTAATAGAGGGTGGATTTTGAAAGCGTGAGTGCTAGACTCGCTATGTGTTGTCACTAATAGCAATAGAAACAAAAAGTATGCAAGTACACTTGAAATTTTATAATTGTTCTACTTGGCTCCAAAGAAGTTTAATTTTGCGTGAATGAGTGGGTGCATGAGCTATTGAACGTTGGTTGCAACATATATATATATATATATAGACTATATATTTCTTTTTTTTTAAATTTTTTTTTTCATCAAATATGCTAATTGCTGTTGTAGATTCTGTTTTAAGCTTTGCTTGTTTTGTTTGATTTTCTTTAATTTTTTTTTCTATATATGCATTATATATTATTATGTATATTGTAATGTATGTATGCACATTTTAGTTGTATGTATATATCATCTGCTGGGCGAAGGCAAATTTACAATAGTAGTTTAGTATCTAGTTTTAGGCAAATAGTGCAAAGCCCAATTTGCTCTGGGTATGGGGGAGTATGTTAGGTCAGAATTCCACAAACACCTATTCACTAGATAATTACAGGGTACACAGTAGGGATGGACAGTAGGTGACACGTTCAAAGGAGACTGACCGCTCTGACAGGACAATAGTAGTCTTTATACTGACCAGTAGCCAGGTTTGTTAGCGCCAGGGGGGATAATTTGTTAGGTCACATGTTCTGAGCTCATTGTCCCGTGGGAACAGCTAGGGGGTTAAGACAGGGGTGTAAATACAGGCAGGTTAGTTAGTCTCTCTCTCTCTCGCACAAGCGCTCCCGACGTTAGCGGTTAGGGGAAGCCTCGCTCAGCAGTACAGGAATTCAGCAATTTAATAAACAGAAGAAACTAAGAAGGTCTCCTGTTCAGTTGATTACTTCACTGTAGCTGACTCGGGTAGAATAATTAAATACCCCTAGACAACGACGGCCTTATTGGCTAGTGCCCGAGCCAGTGTCAGCAACGTATTCGGCCGGCGACTAAGCAACCGGACGGCAACATCGTAGTCCGGTCTGCAACAACAACTTCCCAAAGTTTCATGGCGATGTGATGAGAGGTGTAGTAATGCATAAAGGACAGACACACACACACACATACAATGCTTTATATATATATATATATATATATATATATATATATATATATATATATATATATATATATATATATATATATATATATATATATATATATATATGGAGACTTTTTCTCGACTTGTTGTTCCAACTTGCCTGAAAACAAGTATACCCTTCTGCATTATTTCATCAACATCTATCTACTTTTAGCAGATAACCACCAATACAGTTATAAACATTTTTAATGATTTGAATCCAATACATTTTTTGCGCACAGGAGCCAGACGAAACTCTTATCAAACCTGGGGAAAAACGTCACTGGACCGTGCTCCGATTTTATCAAAACGTGAAACCCAACAAGAGAATGAGCGTAGATTTGGCGCGGCTTGTTTTGTTAATCGATGGCCCACAAGCCCAAGACGCTGGCTGGTACTGTTGCAGTGTAACTTACTTTGACAAAGCCGATGCCAAACGTTTATCTTACAGGTGTCAGTATTTAGCAGGTGAGAAACAAGATTACATCTAAGAGTGCAGATGAATATAGAATAACTCTTATCACAACCAGGAAAAAAATATTCAGAACATGCCAAGTAAACAAGCGAAATTAATTTTTTTTTCAGGACTAAACATTTGCTTCAATTTATATTTTAGTCCGTCGTTTAGTTTAAGAAAATAAACTATAACAGAAATTGATTGTGTGATATAATGAAAAACAACATAAAAAATTATATTTAGACATGGCTATAAATGGCTGAAGCAAAGCATAGCCGCTGACGGCTAATCTATATATATAATTATCTTCTGGGAGCCTTTAGAAAACAAGCTGCAAGCGCGCCTTACAGTCCCCTCTCTTCCTCTCTATCGCTACCACCCCCCCCTCACATGGCCTGGTGAGCTGTGGTTCACGCTGTTTACATTTTACAGTCATAGAGACGGGTTTGGTGACGGCTATTAGGGGCAGATAATTTAGTTTGAAACGATTTTAAACTTAGAGGAGGTAACTATGAGGAGGCTGCTTTCACGTGGGGGGGAGGGGGGTTTAGTGTTTTTAAGCAAATTTTTTCAGTGGCAGCATTGGCACTGTCGAATTCACAAATTATAAATTACTGAAAAGTAGAAAAAAAAACAATTAAATAGCGGCGTATGATACGCAGCGGGTCGGCTCGTGTTATATAAAATACTATAGCACTTTACTTGAATTGAAGAGAAATAATGAAATAGACAATTGCAGGCGGATGTATTATTTTGTAGTTAAAGACAAATATTCTATTAAATTACTTTTTTCTAAGATCAAACCTTCTTGTGATATTTTTCTTATTCTATTAAAACGTTTAATGCATCGTTTTCATGTGAACTTAATGTATATCCGTGTGTATAGTTTCAAGTATTCGAGGCATACAATACTCCACAAACGGCAGCTCAATCAAGATAGTTACCGTGAGCCTAATCTTCGGGCTGCTGATTATCTCATGGACTCTGCTACACTTTAATGGGGGTAATATGTGATTTTTTAATAACACTTTTTAAAGAATAGTACCCTATTTTACTTTAAAGAATTTTAATTGCATAATTTAGAGTATGAGCTGTCATTGACGGGTTATTCAGTCCGTCACTACACATAAGACAAAGGACCAAAAAAGGTTACGACACCAAGACTTAATAAGACAAATGAACTTTCGACTATCTACAATCTATTCTAAATGCGTGACACAACTAAGCACAAACCTAGGTTACAGTTGCTACAGAGCTCAAAAACACAGGAGTAAACTAGCTTAACCTATTGTATTTAAAGTGCTAGACTAATATGTTTTTATTGCTGTTTTAGTTATCAAATCCTTAGCTCTGATCATTGCATTAATTATAGTGGTAACTTAAATCTAATTTTATGAATGTTTAAACATAGTCTTTTGCAGTATTTTCTTAACTCATTTTTCTCGAAATTGTGTTTTTTTAGATAAACTATACCCTCGATATATATATACTAGCTGCATCCCGTGCTCCGCCACGGTAAATCTTTTTTAAATGTACCAACTTGGGAACAGAACAAAACTAAACACAACATAAACGAACGCAAAAAAAAAAAAAAAACGAAAAAACAAACACAACACTCATAACATAAACACAATTTAAATGCAATCATAAAGGCATATTGCTCACAGTCTAGCCCGTAGCGCCAAATCGCGCCCTTTCCAGTGATTTGCACCCCCCTCAAACTTTCGATTTGCACCCCTTCCCCCCCCCCCCCGCCCTAAAACTTTCGATTTCCACCCCCCCTCCCTCGTAAATTTTTTCCAACCCACTTTGGCGCCCCCTAAGGGATATTTTAAATACTGCCTATTATTTATACTGTTTTACCTACAATATATCACTTTATCCATTCACGCATCTTTTTTCCAGTACTTTAAATTTTAAAAATTTACAATTGAGTTTCATAACTAAAACCATTGCGCACCTAATGAACGTGATGACGCGCCTATAATAGTGCTGAATAGTTGATTAAAAATTATAAGTATTAAACAGTAGGGCCTACATTCAGTGAATAAAATAAATAAAAGATTGCCTTTTATCAATCCATGCTAATTATAATTTTCTAACAATAATTTCCTCTTACACATCCGAATAATTTGCATTCACATTTTGCTAATTATATTATTGCAACACCAATTCCTTCTATGACGAACGTACATTTGCATTCACATTTTTTATTAGCGTAAGTTTAATGTATTTTTAAATTACCTCCTTTGTCAAAATTAGAAAACAGTTAAATTAATTTGATTTTTCTACCGTACTGTTATTATGTTATTTAAATGTATTCACTTTTTCTAGGAACATAAACGAAAATGATTTTTGACATTGATTCTTTTAATATGTTTTAGCAATGTGCGTGTATTTAATATTTTCTTTAAGTTATGCGAAAGAGTAAAAACCGTGGCAATTATAAAATAGCTTAATGCCGCTATATAAACAAACCCTACTCTATTACTTATAATAAGACACTGCGGTGCACTGAAAAGCACAGCATGGTGCGAATGTTTACTTTTATAGTCCCAAAATCTATAGCGATGACGGAAGGAAGGAAGGAAGGAAGGAAGGAAGGAAGGAAGGAAGGAAGGACTGACACACTACTTGCCCGCTTATATTATAGATATATATATATATATATATATATATATATATATATATATATATATATATATATATATATATATATATATATATATATATATAATTTCTTTTCCATTAATATTAGCTGGAACGTCATATATATATATATATATATATATATATATATATATATATATATATATATATATATATATATATATATATATATATATATGTATATATAAAATCAAAACTTTCAATAAATGCAGAAAAGTAACTCAGTTCATACTAAACTACAAAACCCATATTTAATAAGACAGTGAGATGCAAACAAGATCTCCATATATCCCTGAATATTCTAATGTGATAGGTTGCGAAAATATTTTTCGGACAGAGACAGAGAGAGAGAGAGAGATAGAGATAGAGGGAGAGAGAGTGCACACATGGGCTTTTATATATTAGGATAAGACAGTGCGATGCAAGCAAGGCATGATATTATCGTACTTTATTTAGCCAACTGTCGATTAAGTTAAGTAGTGATTTATTTGAAATATACCATAAGGATAAGAATTGATTGAAAGTTAACATCTATAGAAAAGAAAAAAGACCACAAAACGGTCATACCGATGGCAAACGGAAAGACAGACACACTACCTAGGGGCTTATATTATATATGTTTACCAATTTAGGTTTAAGGAAGTAAATAATTGTGTATAATGCTTCTTTTAAGTTCATTATTTTAAATCTAAATACACCCTTAAATTATGTATAATTTATATATACGTTTTAAATTTTAGGTGAATAATTTTCTTGTTCCTCGCTTAAATGCCACTAAACACATGGAAGTCTTATCTACTAGCGATATCTTACAGTGTCTTATAAGGACACAATCAAGCTCTAACCATCAAAGCTTGGAATTTAACAGGACACAAGATCTCGAAAATTAGCTGAAAACAATCAACGCTATTGTAAATAACATCTTTACAAAACTTAATATTAGATCAAAGCATTAAAATTTGTAAACGCAAATAAATCTCGCTTTGGTTAACTTTATTTACTATCATTATTTTTATTTCTTACCATGGACGTCTGTATCTTACAAACATGTTGTGTCATATTTACTTTTGTTAGTTTGTTGCTAATACCACATGTGTGGTTGCTGTAACGTCGTTTTAAGAAGTGAAAGTCTTGCTGTGGTGGTTCTACTCTGCTGTCCAGCTATTTTAGGAACATAATCAAAGTAGTGCACAACATGTAGTGCTGGTCTAATTATTTTAATTCTTGTTTTATATTGTTGAATGTATTATATTGCAAACCATACGTGTCTTCTATGTGCCCTAACACATGTGACAGATGAAGCAGAACTCACATGTTTTAGTTATCTTGGCTTATTAAGGGAAAGTGTGGTCAGCACTATTCCGAGCCGCCTTTATTTTCAGGGTCGACTCAGGAATATTCTACTGACTTGAAACCGCACTGGAACATCGACACTTTTGGGTTAACAGTTTAACACAGAAGTTTCCATTATTTCTTCCAGAAGGCCGCATTAACTATCAAATATCAATTCGAGGGCCAGCGTTTCTTCTAGTCATCTCTTTGGGGTGGCGTAGTCCCTCACCCCCCCCCCCCCCCCCATTTCAACGAAATATAATTTAACAAATTAATAAACACATTTCAAGGGCCTCTCCCCCCCTTTCCTTCCTGAGAAAAAAGTCTGAAAGAAACACTGTCGTGGACCGACAACACACTGGAGGTCTTCGTGTATTTCATTCTTGAAAATGTTTGTTCACACCGGTATATTGCTCCAAAAATTGAAAGGTACTTTGATGCAAAAGTTGTTATATTATGAAAGTCTTCCTTGGGCAAAAACGTTTTTTAAAAAAAAACGTTCCCCCCTTTTTAAACTTGTCTCTAAGGTGGTCATTTGCTTGCTATTCAATGACCTCCAGATGTAGTTCATCTGGGAAACTGGCCAGATTTGTTCCAAATGGGTTTTGATACAATCTCACTTTATCTGCCTTTAAATACAAGTCAGAAAACCGCTACTGAAACTGCAGCAAGAGGTCCTTGATGATCTAAGATGCAAATGTTCCGGTGACTCAGCGGTTGCTTTAGGCTTTAGGTGAGTGTATAGCTCTTACATTCTCTCTCTTGTAGTTTTATGTTCAGAAAATTAAAATGACTAGTTATTTCTGCAGCAGAGGCCAATTTATATACCCACTCTTCATCAGACATTAATGGCTGCAGCTTGACTATTTCCTTTCTTAAATACTCTGCTCAGAATTTCTCACAACTTAGCCATCTTAATGTTGTGTAATATGGAAACTCTGAGTTTGTATCTTTCAATGCGTCTTCGAACTTTTATTGGATAAGCCCATGTAACCTTATTCAATTCACCAAATATTTAGTACACTGCAAATGTCCATATATTTAGCACACAAAGCTAGCTGGTGAATAATCTATTGCAGCAGCATTGGTTGTAGAATGTTTTTCTCACTGGCTTGTCCCACCAAGCCTTTCTTTATACCATCCATGTGCTCTCCTCCATCAATAGCCTGTAACTGAGGTTAGTGTATTCCGAATTTAAATCAGCATTTATATTTTTTTAACTGATTGAATATATCCTCTCCGGTAACAGCGCCATACTATGTAGGGAAGCCAGCTCTTGTGTTATGTTCATCTCTTCATCCAAACCTCTAATGAACACTAGCAGTTGAGGTGGAACAGCTATCCAGCGACTTAGTCATTGTAATTTAAAAATTGCGATACTTGCTTACATTTTTACATGGTTTTATTTAACTCACTTCCTGTGTCTGTCGACAGCCGCCAGTCAGTCGTCAGTCTGTTTAGATCGAAACGCACGAGCGAAATAGCAGGCACTTCTAACTAATAGATACGGCTCGTAGTTGGTACGTGTGTCAAGACATAAACATTCATTTTGACTTAATTGGTTGCCTAATTATGCACAGCTATACCGCTAATATATATATATATATATATATATATATAATATATATATATATATATATATATATATATATATATATATATATATATATATATATATATATATATATATATATGTGTGTGTGAAGAAAATTACAGCTTACAATAATGACACATCTTACAACAGTGAAAATCTTTGTGGCATAAACGGCAAAAAACATCTGGAGGTTTTATTAACTAGCCATATGTCTTATCTTGTGTTATAAGAAAACCGTAAAAGCTGTTAATTTGTTACAAGATCGTAAAAAAAATGGAAAAGTAAAAAGATCTAGAAATTTTATCAACAAGCGATATGTCACATACTGTGTTATGAGGACACTATAGAAGTGCTTTTTTTCAATCGTGAAAGAAGCTACAATTACATTTCTGAAAATAACATGAGAA